ATATTCATTTAAATCAGAAACATTTTTTAATAACTGGTTGTCTACCAGAGCACATCGCGGTTATTCAGCCTGAATAGCGTCTTCCGAGATATGTCGAAGTAAGTCGCTCTGCTCAGACAAACCCGTACAGCCCAAACGCATGATCAGAGCATGGTCTCTTCATCGAGTGCAATGACTCTAGAACGTTTGGCTTGATGTTTTTTTCACGACTATGCAAGCTTTGCCACGAATTGTGGCAAAGCTTGCATAAAAACAGAGCTAAATCTTTTGAGAAATCTGAAAATGTGTGCTCTACATTATGATAGTTATAGTAGTAGAAGCATTGAAGATAATGCCATGATCTTCATAGTTACCCAACTCTATGGCCGGACGAAACTATCCGTGCATGCCGGCTATCCGTCTCTATGCATTTAACTGGTGCACAGCGAAAGCAGCTCAATGCGGCTAGTAAATTTCGATTATAAATTACCGCAAGGTCACCAAACGGTTTCGCGTGCTGCTATATATATGAAGCGGTACCATTCGCATACGTTCTTCTAATAGGCAGCGTGTCGGTCTATAGTTTCAGGTCTCATCTAACACGTTTTTAGTATTCGTAAATTGACTAAAACCTGCTATTATTATCCCATATATAAATATAATCAAACAAATAGAAGCATTATACATATATATATATATATATGAGCACTAGCTTCGACAAAGAATGGGCAACATGTTTTACGTTTATAAAGATCCCGCTTCCTTAAATCATGTCTCACATCTGTTTGTCATTGCTTTATAACAATCGACCGTTTGTGATTGTTGACGTATGATTTTACGAGCAACAATCACAAAAGGTCACGCTTGACATACGTTGCTGGCTGCAATACGTTTTCAGAAACTTTATGCTTCCAAGAGAAATGTCTACATGAAGGTATAGCCTTTGATAGCAGTATGAAGAATCTTTCACTGCAATGGCAATCAAATACGTTGGCCATCAGACCCATGTCTGAGACTGATCTGTCATATTTGTATGTTGCCCACTTATCGTGCTGTACCATGTAGTCGTGTACAAGAACTTTGTACTTCTTTAACATTAACGCGCAGAGTCAGTACTACCGCTAAAATAGTTCCTCACTTCGCCACAGATAGAATATCGGTTTACGTAGAATCTGAAGCGTAGACTTCCGACGCTTGTACTCGTCGCCAACTTCTGTTTCGGTAGGCAACTATTATAGATCGATTCCTCGTATCAGTTCTTCAGCAATTGCTGGCACAATATTCATAATTTTCCCAGCGAAATAGCAAAGCTGACGTGCTCGTATATATTATAACTGTAATCCAACATATGATTGGGTACCGTTCATTTATGCTTACCCGGTAACTGAAGCGGCCACTATAAAAATGGTCACATTGGTAAACGTTCATGATAAAAGCGAGTAACTAGCTTAAAAACATTTTCGGAAGTCGCAATTTTCAGTTTAACCAATGCTATTAGACAGAATGCTCGTAGAAAGCGTTAAAAGGAAAGGTAGGGGATGTGTTGCGTCTACGAAAAGTTCACTACGATTTCAGGAAGCAGACTAGGAGCAAATGTCATGATCGAATACACAACACGTTTTACCAAATATGCAATGTTTGTGTACGTTGCCAGTACACCGTGGCCTGAAACGGACGCCTAAATAGCAATGGGTGGTCGCCATCAATGGCTACAAACTGCCCATCGGATAAGCACTATTCTCGAACTTTGTTCATTTTTGGACCTGTTATTTATTCGAAGAAAGACAGTGTGTAGGTCTATTGTATCTGCGAGGGCCAAACTGTTTCGTTCGCGTCTCCGTCCCGTGAGACGAGAACCCGAACGAGACTTGCAATTACTGGCCGCAGGACCTTGGATTTGAGCCAAAACTCACTGAATCGAACGATGCTGAATGAAGTTATGTAGATTAAACATCACCCTTCAAATCTATGGACCCTTACAAAGATCTCCATGTAATATATAGCTTAGCAAGTCGCAAGTAAATTAAGGTGGGTGCCTTAACATAGGCGCTAGAAGATCACAAGGTTTGCCATCGCTACGGATACCGGAGTTACACGTATCTCAAATTAACCAGAAGAATATTGCCGATAATACAATTACAAGACTTAATAAAATACACTTGGTTTTCTGTGCACAACACAGACTAAGGTCGAGCGTGAAAAACGTAGTCTAAATAGAGCTTCTTTCTGGCTATGGAGTTCATACTATCCATCCATCCATCACAAAGAAAACATGTTCACCCAACACTATGTGAATTTTTCCTTACGTTGTATATGATGTAAATTTTTTGCAATGCAGTACGACAAATAACTTTTGCCTTTTATAGGCTCTCCTTTTTACCACGGTTTTGTGTCGTCGTTGCCAAACACTGTCACGTAAATGAATGATTGGTAAGATCGCAATTTTACGTAGAGGAAACAACCGCGTGGATTATTGCAGCGACAATGATGAAAATCTACGGGTCACGCAGGACCTATTACCTCGGAATGCAGATGCATAGATCTATCTCTTTGCAATTCTACTGAGTTGAGCCTCAGCTATGCCCGCTCTCTTTAATGGTTTCAGATGAGATTACCTAAGTGAGACTCGTCCAGAGTTTCGTTGTCAAAGATAATGCGACCGAATATCATCAGATGATCAGAATAAGTAAGCAGAGCCATTTGACAACAATGATAGTTAGCAAAATCAAGGGCTTGCAAGAAATCCAAGGAAACGCAGGAGGTGGACAGCTGAAACTCTTCTTGTGTTTCGCCCTTTGCATCTGTGAGCGAGTAAAGACTAAATCTCTATTATATTTCACATTTATGCTACGTTCGCTAGCGAGAAAAGGCTATTTGGTGTTGTCGATTCCTAGAAAACAAAGCGAAATTATTATGTAAATGAACGGTGCAAACGAGCAGGATAATGCATCAATCGTTATGGTTGACGTTTCTCCTTGCATACCAATTAAAAGTAAGCGCCAACCAGCCACCTATTCGTTCATCAGCGCATTGTAGGCTACCCTTCCTGAAATCGCTTCTTTCTACGATTGTGAGTTCAAAGTATAGGAAAATGATCCGGTACCCCCGAGGCCAATGCGGGTTGTGTCAATTGGTGAGGCGTATTGCGGATGCCTGTATTTGGGACATACAACGCGTCTGAGGTGCTCAACATAACGAGGCACAGAATTTAACCTTTGAGCGATTGTAAGTCGAAAAATTTTGTGTAGAAAGGCCGTCGTCTTTTCTATTCAAATAAGTATGATCACATTATACATTGCATTTTTTGTCAGGTTCCTGACATAGGCATATTAACATTACCGCTACTATTTGAATTAACAGTGTTTTTCTTTACACGAACACAGCAGTCTAGTACATATATATTACAAAGGAATATGTGTAAAATAAAAAATCTCTATGAAAATACAGTGATTTCTGGATTGAGAATCGAAGCGTGGATGACGCGCAATTTTTACGTTGTGAGAAACGTTTTCAATATCCGGATGTAATTTATGTATAACAACGGAACAGATATATCCAAGCACAAACATTGTATCTATTGGGTTAATCAGATCCTTTGTACAATACGTTTTTATTCTACAGTAACCGTCTCATTCAGTAGACGTTAACGCCTTCAATCTGAGCATTGGGCTGATGACTTGTTTTCGTCGGTCATCAATGGATTCGGATTGTGCCGATATTATACCTTTCGAAAGACATTTTGCTGCTTTGAGAAGAAACATCTTCAAACGCCAAAGACCGTCGCATTCTATACAGTGGATAAAAGCCAACATCATTTAGGAAATACTGTGTCGTGACGGGCTACTTGCTCTTGAATTTCTGCGACTAGGGCAACTGTTACGGCCGTTAACACAATGCATTAAGTTCGATACGCAACACTGCAATGTCTTATCTGTCGCACGCCAAGTCGGCACGATAACTTACTGGCGACGATGATCGAAAATGACGCCGGTTCAACTAAACAAAAAAGTTTACCCGTTGCTTTGTGCTGGCCAATATTAGAATCAGGCTAAGAGGGCAAAAACGACCATCGAAGGACATCTGTCCCTCAGTGTTTCGCTGCCGACAAAAGGAAGGCGATCTATTATTAAGGGACGTTCACAAAAACACCATTGTGCGAGGTACCTTGGAACGCTTACGAAATATTTTAGGTAGTGACGAAAAGTTGTGCTGAAACGTGTGTAAAGGTAACGACATAAATTCTTCTTTGGCAAAAGCCCTAAGAAAAATTGGTGGTAGTATAAAAGCGATTCTGGTATTAGTTAGAAAGGTGGGATCATACTTGTATATGCAGTACTTATAGTATATAGTATACTGTCTATTTCAAGCTGGTTTATGGGCATTAAATGTGGAATCTCGATTTTTTTTGCCAGTTAATAATAAGCGACGTGTCGACGCGTAAGAACGTCACTGTAGGGCGAGTGCTTCCTGCACCGGGTTCTTTAGCTGGCATTTGAAATATTTCCTGTCGGTTTCAAAACGCTATGCTGTGAGCCTTAAAACAATGACGTTGTCCTGTCGAAAAGGGACGAACCAGTTGTGCAAATTTAAGAAAAGTTTTTTCAAGGACTAACTTTGAAGTTTGGGCTAGACGACGAGAAATTACGAAAAATCCTGTGAAAGGCAGGAGAGGAGAGCGCATCATATTAGAACGGAAATAACTGCTTCGTTGCGGTGTCTTGCCCTAACGTTTCGCTTAGGTAATTAGAGCGCAAATATACTTCATTACTTATTGTTATAATAGGTGCCCGATTTCGAGCTTCACTGTCCTTTGATGGTTATTCGCATTGATTTTTAAAGTTAAAAATCTAAATAATTAGTACCGATTCATACTTATACATACTCCTAGGAATATCTTTGAAATTATTCATTACGTATTATCATCTTACCTCGATAATTAACAGGCATAAAAACATGTCAAGGATTTTTGGTTGAATCGTAAGTTAACTTTCTAAACTTTTTACACTCCGTTTTTGGTACTAAACTACTGATCTACAATATCGCTCCCTCTTTCTCTCCGTGTCCCTTTCTCCTCTGTCTCTCTCCTTCTCTCTAATATTTTCAGAAAATGGTTCAAATCGACGCTGGTTTTGGTTCCGCTCTTTGGGTCCCATTATTCATTACTGTTAGTGGCTTCTATAGCTGCCGACCTGCTCTCGCCGCAAGTTGAAGTCTACTGGATGTACATAGATCAAACATTCTCGTCGTTTCAGGTAAATTTCCTTATCTTTATATATTTTTTTTTTTAGTAAAAAATGTCCTATTATTTTGTTCGCGATTTTTTAGATGACCAGAAGAGATGTAAGGCATATAAGGTAACTATGCTCCACATTTCTTCTTTATATAGGATATCTATTTATATAGATATCCTGTTTTTAAGGCACGTTTTCTTCAAGACGAATTCGTTTGAATGTGAAACCAATAGACGTAATACAGAAAATAGGAACATTTTCCATTATATAAATGAATTCAGGAGCTATAAAAACTAAACGATTAGCAAAGACAACTTGAATGTATATGTGATTATTTATGCTTTCTAGCTCTTAAAGCAACAACGGCGATTTTGATTTAATCTGAGACGCTTGTATACTGGAGCTTAGGTAAACTATTATAGTAAAAAAATGAGTCGTAGGAAACCGGACAAGCATATTTTCAGATACTGCGAAAGTTAAATAAGCTAAATTTGAATATACCGCCTCTCAGTCGAGAGCCTGTCAAAACATTACACCAGCGACATCCTACGATCTACTAGAAAACTATTCTGGTTACAGCAGGCGAAAGCTTACGAGTGCAATTTCAACCATACATGTGGTTTATTAGTTAGAAACATTTCAGATACTTAATTATCAAATAGGATTACAAAAGTTTTCCAAAAGCTTCATAAATATAGATTAACTATATATTTGCATAAAATGAGTAATGTTATTGCTGAATCAATTGCTGATCACATCTCTAACTCAATATAGACGGTACACTATTATTTAGCATAAGGGTGTTTCGTCATTTGCTTGTGAAAGGCTATTTGCGGAATCTCCGAACCCGCTTCGGTTAACTTCGACTCTTCAGTAAGGCTTTCCATTCAATCAGTACGAATGACGAAGTACGTTACGTTTTCACGGCGGAAATTGTCTCATGGCCTCTCTAAATTTAGCATGGCCCAGCAAAGTCAAAAACTGCTTTGAGAACAACGACTAATCATCTGCAGATCGCAATACGAAGGGGTCGGTTATTAGTGTTCACACAAACTCAGGGATCCCACAACGGACAAAATTTTGCCTAACCTCTGGATTCGTTCATATAAAAGCAAGGTGCAAGCAATTATATGTTGTTAGTAATAGGGCAAATGTGAAGCTTACTGCTGGCCCCTAGAGCGATCAATACCCCATATATGTATATATCACAGAATTGTAGTCTGCTGAAAACCGCATCTCAGCGTATGACTTAAAAGCAGCAGTACTGTAAAATTTTGGCCATGCGTTGTTTTTTCGCTTAATATTTTTCATACTCACAAAGTGGCATACTTTAAAGTAGGCAGAACAGTAGAATGAATCAATGGGACAACGGACTAGATTTAACACTCACTTTCCTACTTTCTCTTTGAAAATGACTTTAAAGAGCATCGAAATAATTGTACATATATAAATATAGACGTTTTTCCAAGTGCTAACCAGGTTTCATCTGATCGCTAAGGGCATCCAAGACAGATTTGTTTTTTTCTATTTTCTAGCTATATAATATTGTTTTAAATACACTTCTATCTTCAGATGTAGAACACGACGCAGTGCCGTGCGTAATCAGCACGACCAAAATATAGCAGAGTTTGTTGACAAAGGTCATTATTGTCTGGGTATTACTCAAAACTTTCATACGACAAGGTACCTAGATTCAAAATATTCGAAAAAGGACCAGCCGTCCTGAAAGTGGTAATACACTATTTGAAACGGAATGTTTCGAATTTTTTTTATTTTCCGAAGTTTCGCGGCTTTTTAACACTGGCTTGACAAATGCCTCTCTGGAAATTTGCGTGGCAATGGTAAATATTGTAATGGACGCTCAGAGGCCCTTTGGATGCATTATTGAAGAGAAGATAGGATTTCTATAATGATTTGATTTAGCTTTGCCCATATAATAGGGCAATCACATTATTTATTACATACAGAAACAATTATTTATTATTCTTAAAACAATGCATTCCTATTGTCATGTATCTAAGTTCAACATAACGAAATTAGTGTCAAGAAGCAGGCGAAGGGTAAAGCGAAGGTTGAGTTGCCATTATAATTAATTTTATCCCCTTTGGCTTGTTGATGGTCTGTTTGTCACCTTGGCCTTGACAAGTGGCGTGTCCAAATACGAACTCTTTCCAACTGCATGACATTTCCGAGAAAGAGAATAAAACATAACAGGCGCACGAACATTAGAAAGTTTAGCCGTGATAGCGTAGCAAGTGTTAGTTCGTAAAATAAGTTTTTGGAGCAAGCGGAGGATAACACGAATACTGGCTGGGGGTGTCCTCTGTTGGCCTGCGATCCAGAATCGGTGGGCAAAGGCTAAGACTGCCAGGATACGCGTGGCATCCATCTCGGTTGTATATTCATCTATCTTAATCGTTTTTGGCCGTTGCGTCTAGCCCTGTAGATGGATTAGAACTTCGAAACGGAACCGCACAGAATAATTACATAGAAGAATAAAAAACAAGTATACAAATAAAAACACCAAATTCATAGCCTTCAGAACCTTTTTTTATTACGTGTGTGAATGCAAATTGCGTAGGGAATAATTCACTGTAATGTGGCAGTGCCAAAAACGTACAAGCGTCTCGAGATCCTACCAACACTGGAAGAACGGAAGCGCAAACCGAAAAAAATCAATCGTTCTAAATGTGTACGTCGCTTGCGTTCGTTTTGTACTCATATAGAAATTTGCCTGCTTAGTAGAATGGTTCGAAAGATTTTTTGCAGGGAAAAACGTCTTTTGCCGCTGTTTCACACGCTCATCATTTCCTCACACTGTCTGTCCAGTCTCGTAATAACACGCAAAATCTTCACCTCTGATCAGTCACCGTCGATGATTGTAACCAAACAATTGTATCAGGGCGGAACTCGTTGGCAGCCTCCGGCACTGTCAAAGGCGGCTTACCCGCTGCTCCGTATAGCCGCATATCAACTGCTTCGTGAAGAAGCAGCGTGTGCCAACTTTAATCTCTTAGTCTGTACCGAAAGTGTTCATACTATATAGTAATATAGTGTCAATAGCGCTTAGCCTAGAGATAATTTGTACGCATTGTTCGATGTCGTTTCGTGCTCTGCCCGGAAGCGGGTAGCAGAGAGCGCTATGTTGTTGACGGACGGATAGACGGACGGGCGGCGAAGAAGTTGTGCTGGATGTCTGGTCTGGCGCTTAAGGCAACGACGTGGACGGAGCCTACAAAAAGCTCCTTGTGAAAGAAATATATCGAACATATGCAAACAGAAAGAGAGACACAGCAGGATTCCCTCTAACGTGCGGTCGGCGAACAAGTAAGCGCAAGAGGAAGGAGAGCTATTCAGTCATCTGTGTCGTTCGTTACCGATAGGGGTCAGACGAAGCTAGCGGGGGAAGGCTAGCTATGGCGCTTGATATGGCCTAACTTTAAATAGTGAGTAGAAGTAGAGACCTCTCAACTACCATGGCAACGGGAACATGTGGCACATATATTACGTGGACTCCCACATGGCATCTAACTCTAGCTATACTTTGCCTTCACGAACGACGCTTAGACTGGCCTTCTTCAGGGTGTCATACTGCAGATAAGTATACACGTTGTTTGAAGTATGGCAACAGGCAAATATATCAGAATGTGTCGCGGGAAGTCTGGGGAAAAACACAGTCGCGGAACGTAGCGAGCCAACGCCGATGCTGCAGCCGTTTTTGGGAACGGCAGACATGTGCCGTCGTTGTTGATGTATGGATTTTTTATGTGTTTTCTTTTTAGCTTGTAAGAATATACCAACAAAAAAGGACCCGGGCATCGAGTGCACTTCTAGACAAGAAAAAAGAATCAGATCTTGTTTGTTAAAATAGAGCTTACTTAACACACTTCTAACGATTTTTGAGACTCCTGTGCGTGTGGGCTTCTTTTGTTCCTTCAAAAAATGAAATAGATTGTACATGTAATACAATATGTTATGGGAGCATCTCGAACAGCAAAATGTTACAACGCTCGAAATGCAGTGATATCGGTCAAGCGCCGGAAATTTCAGAGAGCTTTAATACCTACAATAGCAACAACTATAATATATATATAGTATTCTTCAGGACGAAAGAAGCTCGTTACTTACGTTACAGGATCCTAATCATTTCAGTAGATCAGTTCTTCAAGAAACATTCCTTATTTTAAGCTCTATAACCATATCTTAGATTACATAGATTAGATAAAATTACCGTATATTCAGATATATCTAAATTAATAGAAAAGTAGTAGCCAACGTTGCTTCTGTCAATGAGACAGGAAAATTTTATGCGTTATTATTAAAAATGCGAGCACTTTTGACAAAGCATGATGTTAAATATCGCTAACATAAAATACGTCCATTTCGATCGAAATTTGTTACCGTTAAGCTACCTCAGAACTTGCTCTTTTGCACACCTTATGAGAACTAATCGGATTAATGTAACAAAGTAGTTCCGAAGTATTACTCGAAGAAAAATATATGTTGCTTAAAAATAAGAAGTTGATTTAAATAATAAGACAGAGTAGATACTCTGTTGTATACTACACACTCCAGTACTGTCATTATAGCTCAGTTAAGTTAAACTATAACATTCTTCTGTCTGCTTTCTTAGGGTATTTTTATCCTTTTCAATACTGCTTTTCGTAATTTCGTTAGAAACATTTTTTGTTTTTCAAGTTAAAACCTATTAAATTATGAAAAAAGCTATGAAGCATGTTCAAAGCAAGTTGATTTCGCTTATTTGTAAGTTGCCTCTAAACGAGACCAGGCACCCGGGTTACTTTTTTCTGCATTTTGCGACATGGTTCTCCCTGCGTGTTGTATTTATTGCTCTGTATAATGTGATTCTCATTTAGCTGCGAGTCGAAGCCTAAGCCTCCTACAAATTATTTTCGAATATTTATATTTTGAATTCGTGCATGGCTTTTGATGGTGACCACATCTATCGTCACCGTTATTCTGTATGATATTTGCTATCTTCTCTTACCCATAACTCTTTA